CTGGATCCGTTACAGCGAAATTGATACCCAATAGGGTAGCCGTTTACAGAAATAAGAGGTTGTGCGCTCGGTTCTGAAGCATTTGACTGGTGGAGGTCCCGAATGACCAGGTAGTTTCTCTATCATCAGGGAGTCGCGTACACTTGCGCCACTCCTACCAAAGGGTAGAAACAATGGCCCCAACGTGTGTGGATTTAGGCTCGAAATGGGCGTTATAGGGTGTTAATCTTTCGTGTAGCTCAGTATTCACAATTTTCGGTGGAATGGTTACCTCCAACTAAAAAAACTAACAAGTGTGCGGCTAGCCTGCTTGAATTTTAGGGTTAATTATAGGCGACCACATTACAGACCGCATACAAAATCAAAGTCAGTGGTAAACTCGACTGAAATGTCATAAAGTTTTGCATTTCCACAACTGCGTTGTGTAATTCGCAAAAACGTCTGTAAATGCATTTTTCTGAAATTGCCCACAATAACACTAAATCAATTGTGGTTGTGCCCATTTCAAAATCTTCTGATTTCGATGTCCGTAAGGAAGAATCCCAGCGGAGCTGAGGCCGTTTACTCCACTGCGATAGCCATTTCGGCGCTCTATGTTTTCAGTCCTTGAAATCACGCATGCACCAGATCCACAGCCTCGCACTCATGCAGTTTGTCACTCGACCCTGTCCTCGGATGACGGTGGATTCACGTTGCTAGGGCCACCGACTGCTAGTGTTAAGTTCCCGCACGCTGGGTCGAAAACCGCGGCGGAGTACCAGGCAAGTATCAATCCCTCGACTCAACGTTTTTCCTGAGGACTCACTGAAGATGCACAAAAGTGTGATAGTCTATTGAGCAAAACGCCGACAGCCAGTCTATCGAAACTGAACTGTTCGCCCTTCAAGTATCCGTCTGGAGCATGAGAATCAAAAAGACGAAGACATGAATAGGAACACCAACCAATGCAAACAGCCGACACAACTATGCGTTGGGCACCAGGAGTCAGTCATAAGATTATACAGAAATGGTAATCGTTCTTCCTATTCATCAACTCCCTGAAGGTTATTATTCTATTAACCACACATCCAAAATCGAGATCTGGATGACTACTCAACCATTCCTTTACCTTCTTTGTCGGTGTAAACTGCATACACTTTTAGATTCGGGTAAGACAGATTCAAATTAAACGATCAGTCAAAAATGAAATATCACCAGGTTTTTACTGCTCGGAGGGTTGTTTTTTCAGAGATGCAGCCCTAGGTATCTAGGTTTTGTTCCCATTTTTATTATTTATCGTACCTAAAGTCGTCACATATCTCCATGACTAAAACTTTGCCGCGGTTTCGATGTGCACAGCACCATTGTCGGAAACCAATTCACATTTTTGTGACACACACCCATACAATTATTAGGGCAGTACTTCCGCCCTCCTCTTGTTTACTGCCTGGTAATTTTGTGGAAACGTTCGTTATAAAAGTTAGAGAAGACATTACAGGAGGTGTGTATCTAGAAGGGGCCTCGTCTGGTGCTGAACTTTTTAGTTTCCCCGAAGATTTATGTGGGAACTTGGAGTGAAGTCCACGGGAAAAGACTTTTAAGGCCCGGTCCAAAAGTTGAAACAAGTTGTGGAACAGAAATTCATCAATTTCAGGGGCTCTTGACCAATAGGCGTGCTGGATGTGCATGATAAATCAGTGAATACCTCGTCTGTAATTATTGAGCAAGCTAGAAACTTTGCATACATTGACCTGGAATTCCGTCGAAATTTTTACTTTAATTGAGTTTATTTAAACTAGGCTGAAAACTCTTCCGTTTGCACCACTTACCAAAACTGACATATTTATAGTATCAGCAGTTGAACAGTCCACAGCAAAAGAGAAAAGTCTATTTGTCAGAGGTTCTGTCTACTACAGATTTCCACGCCGATCAGAACTGTTCATCTACTTAGAAATATTTAAATCGCCGGACTTCAGCGGTTATCGCCTTTGCCGTTCTTAAGAATTTTGAGGAGCCGGCATTATCGGAATTTGTACTAGGCCCGTATTTTCCTCCTCATTTACAGCGAATTGGCCATTATTAGAATTGATTATTTGACTGGGCGTAAGAAGGTTTATTGCTTCAAGTGCGTGTTCACACCCCTACGAGGCACCTAAAGCGTCTTTCTTACAGCAAACTAGCATGCAAAACTCATTAGTCATTCTTATCAAAAGCTTAGTCCATTTGTAACCCCCCCACAGAGTGTTCGTCCAACGTGTGTAACTGAACACTCTTCAAGGAGAATCGATTTGTTCTGACAAGTTTTAACTTTTCGATGACGCGTTAAGTTTCTGCACGTTAAAATCGATACTCACAATTTGTCGTCAATCATGCGCCATTCATTATTCGTAATCAGAACACACTTTCTGCCGTCGCGCCAAAGGATGCTTCTAATTTGCATCGCTTGCATTGACCTCATATTGGCCACCAGGGCTCTGCCAATGCCACTAAATTACCCACCTGGATCCGCGATGACACCGAGTCCGGCTGCCGGCACTTTTCCCCTTTTCTGGCCCTCATTCATGCCAATGATGCCAGCTTTCTTTGTCGGAATTTCCCCACCCGGGACCGAGAGAACGACCCTACCAACGATCTACATTAAAATCACCAATGACAACCAACAGTCCGAACCGTCGTCGTCGTCGCAACCTTCCCACCAGAACTCCTCAGAACCTCAGAGCATGAACGGGGAGGGAGGCGGCCCACCTTCAACATCTGTGCTCGTTCGGGTGGAGGACAGTAGGACAAATCGAACCGCCAGCGGTCAACAGTACGCAACAGCCACTGCTGTCCCCGCAACTGTCAGGACCGAGTTCGTCCTGCCGGAACCGGGAACAATTTCAGCCCTGCCAGTGCCAGCTCCATCGCCGCAGGCCAACCCGTTGGCAGTTCAGCCCTCGAGTTCTGAAACCCGCAGTCTGATCATCCCGGCTCCGCCTAGTGCGATAGAACAGCAGCCAGTGCCGATGCCGACGGAGGCTGCCGCCCTCCTGGCGGCCCAACCACCGGTGGCCGCCCCTCAGCGCAGTCGGAAGAAGGCGTCCAGCAGTGCCGGGACCGCTGAGGAGCAGGCCGCGCTGGAACAACTATTTCAGACCGCCCTTCTGGCAGAAATGCTGCATCAACTGCAGGCGGCTCAGAATGGGGTTGTCGGCCCTCACGGCGGGCTGCCACAGTCCTCGGCAAATATTCAGCCTGCGTAGGAGGGGTTTGCTTCAGCCGTTCTCTTGCCTACTGGTCATTCATTTTCTGCTCGTTAGGTTATGTGCAGTTTTTATTATTTCCAGAAATATACATGCACCTGATGACACTCACTGCCCAAATGTTGTATCCAAAACTGCAGTTCCAGAGGCGATAATATCCTTTTTTATAGTTGAACATTGTAGAAGCATGGAGACCTCCGTGGCTCGAGGGGCAAACAGACAAACATAGTGGGTGTTAAGACGGCGGCTGCTTTGGAGCCAGTCGGTGCCCCGCTCAGTCGGTAAGACCACAGATCAATGTCCATGACTGGATGGTAAACCGATGTGCGTAAATATACGGCACACATGGTCGGACAGGTGTGGCCAGCTCAGCGCACTTAGCAACACCATAAAAGCCAACTGGTGCGTGGGGGAGAGGGAGGAGAGAGTGAGACGGACACGGGGAAATCCATCATCAATGAGAGATCAGGACAATCCTCACTTTAATAAATCAAACTTGCCGAGTCCATCACGACGTGCTAGGAGTCGTAGCTTGGAAGGCAACCAACCGACGGGATAACCCCGGTCTCCTCTGGACTGCGACCCAGGCTACTTAATGTGACCTTTATGGCAGTCTCAGTCATGTGAGATCCGATTCGTCCCTTTGGCAGTCTGGGTTATACGGGGTGTGGAGAGGGTCGTGTGCCTGGCATGCATGAACTTTGCTCTTTCGCCTTGTCTGCCATTCGTTTTGAAATGCTCCTGCCATTGGAGTAAGATGGATGAGTAAGGAGGGGGAGTGAGGCATGGATTGCATAAGTCCGACTCATTATAAAGTAATTCACGCGCATGCCACTGGTGCTGGCTCACTCCGTGAGGTATACGATGGACGACCTGTCGGATCAGGATCACTTGTAGAAGATTTAGGAATCTGTCGTGTTCCCCCCACCTTCCTCAGTTACGCTTCTCGTCCTCCGTCTAACTGTTTGTTAGTCAAAAACATCAACAAGGGTTATTCTCCGTAATACCTTTTCTTTCGTTGGGGACTTGATGCCGGGAAAGACAGAGTTGGGCAAATCCTGGAATTTTTTTATAGGGATGTTCACTGAATCACTACAAAAAGTTTATCAGTGTAAAGGGGGCTAAAAACTATTTTATGGATCTGAAAGTTTCGATTCTTAAGCTCAGGATACACAAGTCAAACGATCAGTCTGCTTACATAGACCTGGGATGAGAAGGATATTCTGTGGAAAAGCCCTGAATGTTCCATAATGCATTATGTCTTAAAGTAGACCTAGCCTTTGGCTTAGAAATTTCTTTGGGTTTGCGCCTCATGTGTCGGCTCTAAAAGACTGGTTATAAACGTGGAAGTCCTTTGCTAACGTATGTGGGCAACTCGAATTGGCGGATCTTCACAAGGCTCTAATACGGGAGCCTAGTCGGCGAGCTGATGTTTCTGCCTATGTTGCAAGTAGGATATCTGATCAATGTTCAATGCCACAGTTGGTCTGAGCAAGAGAGCTAATTCATGGATTTCTGGAAGACTAAAGAATCTTGGATGCGACGTGGCGGTGAGTTTTGTGGATAGGGACTTGGTAATGGAGGACATTTTACAGCTGCAATTGAGGCAGAAACCTGCTTAGCTATGTCATAAAGACCATCAGCAGTATTTCCTCATTCCTGTGCGCCAGGAAGTTGTTCCCATGTCCGCAGTGTACCAGCCAACGGGTAGCTTTGGGTTTAGGCTCAAGAACCGCATGGAAGGGGAGAGACAAGGGATGCCTGTCAGACCCATACAGACTACGGTTGGAGACTGGGTGCCCTCCTAAAGCTGACAGGCGGAAGGAACTGTAGTTCGCAGGATTTTATCAGCAAATTTCTTTGCTCTTTCTAGAGGGCAGTAATTAATGGCGACGACGAGACAATGCTTCTTGAGCCATGGAACACACCGACTGGTGATCAGAATGCATGGCCAGATCACGCGTATTAAGGATGGACTAA